CTGAGTGGCACCCTGGTCCAGAAGCTTCCTGGTGGAGGGGAGGAAGGCGCAGGCTCGGGGAAGCGCTGGGGCAGCAGCGAGAGCCCTCAGCCGCCAGTCACCACCCCTCAGCCGGACAAGACACACATCCTGACCCAAATTCAGAAGGTCCTGGAGGCCCCAAGTGACAGCCAGGGCCATGCTCAAGCCCTTCCTTCTCCTCTAGGCTTCTCCAAAACCACCGGTATCCCCGTCCGAGGGGAGGACGACAGGGAGGTGGCATTTCTTTGCGCCAACCACAGCCTCGCTCCTGGGAACAAGCACAGTGGCCGCCTGGACCAAGGCTGCCAGGGCATCTCGGACGGGCAGCTCCATGCCCAGCAAGACAACATTACAGCCAGTGTGACCCCTGCCCGCTCTGCCTGCAGGTCAAGGGCAAAGGCTGTGCCCTGGTGTTCTGTGCCCTGCACAGGGGCCGGCCCGCGTCTGCGGCCCCCTGAACCCGCCACGCAGCCCTGCGTGCGCACGCACACGCACAGACACACGCACACAACATCCCTCATGACTCCTGGCCGCTGCGTAAGCCAGGCCCGGCCAGGGTCCTCTCCTCACCCTGTTCAAGAGGAGATGTTAACACTTTCTCATAGACCTTTACCTGTCACCTCCTCTGAGATGGATTCTGACTTTGGCAGAAGTTGCTGCCACCTCCCCCTTTCACAACCCTGACTCGGGGCCCCTCCACGTCCACCTCGAGAGCAAGGCTGGATGGGCAAGTGAACTTGTCCACGTGCTTATGTCCCCAGGTCCTTGCAGGACACAAGCGGGTGCTGGGGTCCAAGGAAACCCAGGCCGTCAGTGGCCCTCGTGCTGCAAGCGGAGGCTGGACTTAGATGTGACCTGTCCCAGGTGGGCCTGCAAACCCCAGAGCTCAGCTCGCAGTGAGCGAGGTGACCAGGCACCGTGAGATGTCACCAACTGCCCCCCAGCAGGGAAGTTTCAAGTCCAGGCAGAGAATGGCAGCGCAGGCCTGCTCCACAGGGCTCCCCGCCAAGGCCAGCCCAGGTGACATCTGCCAGGGAGCAAGGTTGGGGGTGGCCGCCTGGCAGAGCCACACCCTCTCAAAGCCCCGCAACACAGCCAGCGCCTCCTCCTGCCCGTGGCCCTTTAAGCATCTTCCCCTCTGCAAATGCAGCACTCAAGTCTGAGGGAAGGAGCCAATGAACAGCAAGGCTGAAACAGTGGGTGACTTACAGCCACGCTGTGGAGCACTGCGTCCCGACCACCCTGGGTCACATCTCCGACACGGGGATCCACCTGGCCCATCGTCACCCCAGGAGTCACTCAAATTACACCCGAACAAAAGCAGCGGCTTCGCTTACCGTGGCCAGTTCGTCAAACTTGCCGAAGAGCTCGTTGAGGAGTTTCACCAGCTCCTGGGCTGTGCACTGCGACGCCAGGCCCGTGAAGCCCACGATGTCTGCAAAGAGGATGCTGCAAGACAGAGGGGTGCAGGCTGCCCTCCTCCACGGATGGACAGGCTCCGCCACCTAGACAGACGCTTACCCTCACAAAGCACCTTGAACTAGAGCTCCCGGCTTATTCCTCCAAGCAGGCTGGCAATGAAGCTCTGCTGTTCACATCTCACAGGTGAGAGGACTGAGGCTGGGAGAGGCCAGGGGACTCTTCACAGTCACAGAGGGGGAAGTCCTGGAGCCACTCAGAGCTCCTGCAGACCCCACCAAGGACACAGGGGAGCAGCTCAAAGGCCACTAGACCTGCCCCCTCCTGGGGTGTCCCTGCGGTGGGATCGTGGCCGCGGGCACGTGAGCAGAAGCGATGTGCTCTTAAGGGAGCAGCAGCCTCCGCAGCCTCCCTCGGCTGTGCCCTCCCACGGCTGACACAGGCACTGTCAGCTTCACGGTGGCTTTCTGCGCTGCGCGGAGGGCCACCCCCGGCCCGCTACAGGGGTGGGGGGCACATCTCTCTCTTACACGCTGGGCCTCCGCTTCCTACAGAACCCGGGTCAGTCTAAACAACACAGTGTCCACCCGCAGCGCACAGCTGTCTTCCCGGATGCTGCAAAGGATGTAAACGCTTTAAACAGTGAAAACAGCACGGAGGACCCAGGCAGCACAGAGAACATGCAGAATCACGGACAGCCTCCCCGAGCCGCATGTTTGGGAGCAGCCAGGGTTCCTGACGAGCCCTCCAAGTGCCCGAACCCCCACACATGTGAGGGATGAGCGAGATGTCACCGGGGGCCTCTCTCGGAGGGAGGCACTCCGGGGAACCCACAAGGGAGAGGCCACGGGGCTTGAACACGGAGCCGCCGGACCAGCGCCAGGCGCCACCTCCGGACCTCTCATCCCAGGGGACAGTGAGCCCCTCACTCTTGAAGACACTGCACAGCCAACTTTTGTCACCTGCAGCCTAAAGCGTCCTCAGCTGTGAGACCTGGGAGGTCACACACAGGGGTACATGAAGGGGTCTGACAGTGACTTGGAATTATAGAAGTTCGATTTTTGGACACAACTGTGTTCATATCTTGATTCCTGATGTCAGATCTTAATTCAGTCCTGTATTTTTAATAATACTTCATGCCAGACAGTGGGGACCCCTGTCACAAGCAGTAAGTGGGGATCATGTCATGGGCAGAAAGCGGGAGCCCACATCTCAGAGGGGCTTCTCCCTCACCCCACCACGTCCACCACGCCCTGCCCATGCGCAGAGAGCCCCCAGGGCTCACCCCACCACGAGTCTCATATCCTTTTGTCATCCCCTAACTGTGGAACAGCATCCCCCACTGAGACTCGGAGCACGTAAGGATGCAGACTCCAACCTGTACATCCCATAGCACCAAACGCAGAGCAAGGGGAATGCGTACTTTTGCTATGAAATGGATGAATGGGTGGGTAAAAAAACTGGGTGTCTAGGCTATAAGGAGTGTCACTGATACTGCGAAGCTGGGAGACAGAGCTGGCTGCAAGAGTGTGCGGGGAGACAGACAGCACAGGTTTTCTCCCCTCTCTTTTGGTATAAAATTCAGGCTTATTTACACCTTTGAGGAGCCACCATTTTCTCCTTCTCTACTCTATAACTAACCATGCGTTCACATGCCTTTCTGCACCCACTGTCTTCTCAGCCTCTGCCCAGTCATGGCGTTTCACGAACACGGACTGAGCACTGCCAACCCCCATGCTAGGAAAGCCCCCCAGCGCTGGCCCTGTCTGTCCTCCTCAGCCTCCCGCTGAAGCACCCTGACATCCTCCATGCACACAGGCAAGCACGTGTGCAGGACCTCTTACACGCCAGGTCCCTGTCCTCAGGAGCTCAACATCCGGAGAAGGCGGCTCCGAGCAGGGAGGGATGGAGCACAGGGAAGCGATGATACGGGAAGCCCAGATTTCTGCAGGGAGGCACAACACCCACTTGGCTGATGCAGCCAGGCTGGAGCAGGGTCTGGAGCCCACCCAGGAATTTATCCAGACCAACAGGGAAGGAAGGAGGGAAAAACTGAAGAAGAAAGGAAGAGCGGGTTGATTCAGAAGTGCAAATAGCACCTGGGAAACTAAGATGAGTGTGAAACCATATAATCATATAAAAAGCTAAGAGATCCAGAGTGGCTGAAACACGGGTCCAAGTAATAAGCAGCAGGGCACAGTCTCCAGGATGAGGGGGTTCCTGAGCGTCAGCCCGGGAAAGGCAGGAGGGGAACAGCAGTGAGAGCCTGGACTCCAGTCAGACTGTCCGGCTCCCCCATGTACAGCAACAGGACCATGAGCAACTTAGCCAACACCTTCATGTGTCAGTCCTTCCATCTGCAAAATGGGAACAAGACTGGAGTCCATCTCATAGGTTGTGAGGGGTACATGGATTAACAAAGCACTTAGAATAATACCCTGGACCTAGTAAGAGCGCAACCATTGCTTCTTTATAGTAACTAGCAAGTGTTCTAATGCAACAAATATTTACTGAAGGGTATCTGTGCTAGGTAGTGCTCCAGGGGCTTGGGTCTTCAGCAGTGAAGGCAAGAGTCAAACATCACTGCCCTCCAGAAGCTTCCATTCTAGTCGGGGGAGGTATTTCAAGGGTGACATGTGTGACTATGGAGAAAAATGAAACAATGACGATCAGTATGGAGCCATGAGCAATGTTAACTAGAACAGGTTAGGGGACACTTGAGACCCGAATGGGGGGAAGCCATGAAGACACTGGGAGAAAGCGGGTCTAGGCAGAGGGAACAGCTGCAGTTTTGGCTCGATACAATTCTTGTGTTTTTAGTTCAGCCTTTGAATATGCCATCGCATTGTCCTGTGGCCTCCATTAATTTCTGATGAGACAGATCCTAAAACCTTTATTAAGGTTCTGTGTAACAAGTTACTTCCCTCTTCCTGCTTTCAAGATTCTCTCCTTGTCTTTGGCTCTTGAGAGTTTCATTTTGCTGTGTCTAGGTGTGGATTTTTTGAGTTTATCCTAATTGAGATTCTTTGTTATTTAGGTTAGTGTATTTCATCAAATTTGGGATATTTTTAGCCATTGCTTTTTCAAATACTTCTTCTGCCCCTTTTTCTTTCCTCTTTTCTGAGATTCTCATCATGAGTGTGTTGCTATTTTTGATGGTCTCCCTCAAGCCTCTGAGGCTCTGTTCCTCTATCTTTGTCCTTTTTTCATTCTGTTCGTCAGACTGGGTAAACTAATTGAACTACCTTGAAATTCACTGATTCTTTCTTCAGCCTCAAATCTGCTGTTAAGCCCCCAGGTGAATTTTTCATTTCAGTTATTTTGTTTTTCAAATTTGGAATTTCTATTAGGTTGGATTTTTGTGGAGGGAGTGAGGCTTACTTACTTATTTATTCATTTATTTTAACGGTGGCACTGAGGATTCAGCCCAGAACCCTGTGCATGCTAAGCACGCACTCTGCTACTGAGCTACATCCTCCACCATCTTGACTTGTTTATTGTTAAAAATAATTTCTATCTCTTTATTGGTATTCCTTCTTTGATGAGGAATTATTCTGATACTTTCCTTTAGCTTTTTTGACATTGTTCGTTCTTTGAGCATATTTAAAGTAGCTGATTTTAAAGGTTTTATCAAATAAGTTCAATGTCTGGGCTTCCTCTGGGATAGTTTCTATTCACTGCCTTTTTTTTTTTATTCCTGTGTAAGCCACGCATTCGTGTTTTTTTGCATGTCTCGTATTTTTATTAAAAACTGGATAACATACTGTGGCAACTCTGAAAATCATTCCCCTACCCCATCTCAGGGTTTGCTGTTTGTTTGCTGCCATTGCTGTTTATTGTGTTTTTTATTTAGTGACTTTCCTGAGCTAATTCTGTAAATTCTGTATTCCTTGCTACGTGAAGCAACTAAAGTCTCTGCTTTGTTATCTTAGTGGTCAGCTAATGACTACACGGAAGTCTCCTTAGATGGCTAGGGCCAAAGAGTCTCTCAGTCTTTGACAACATGGTGTGTGTGCATGCTGGAGCATGATGTCAGCACTCAGCCAGGGAATTACAACTTGGCCTTAACCTTCACTTCCTGCTTGCACAGCGCCTCAAGGTCATGCAGAGGTGAGAACTAAGGGCCTTCTCAGGTCTTTCCTGAGCATGCAAACATTCCTACACTCGTACATGGTCTCCTGATTCCCAGAAATACTCCCTTTCAAAGCCCTTGATGGACATCTTATTCCTGTTTTCCCTTTATGGTTTTTGATTACCTTGCTATCGGCCTTCTCTGTTGTCATTGCCTAAGGTAGCTATGATATTAAACAACTGACACTGACTGTTTTCAACAAATGTCCAGGCAAAGGCTGTACATACTGAATGTGAGTCAGCTCAGATAAAGGTAAGCCCATCAGTGGTGTTTTCCAGTGAATTTCCAGACGGTCAAATAATTTTCTGTGAATGGGGTTTTGAAAGACTGCCAGCCAAGTTCTGCCCCTGCCAGACGCTGCCAGGCTACAGGTTTTCATCATGATGGCAGCTGTTGGCTTTCAAACCTTTTGTGAACTGGGAGATGGGAGGATGGAATAGAGCAAGTTAAAATTGCACCAAGCTCACTGTTCTTACCAAGATTTTGCTGTTTTTCTTAAATGAACATTCCCGGATTCCTGCTAGACTTTGGTTAATTTGCAATGTTCTAACAATGTTGATTCAGACCATTTTCTCCAACGCTGTCATTGCTTCTATGGAGGAGAGGGTTCTCATGGTGTTCCACCATTCCCAATGGCATCAGCCACTGTGAGTTGCGAATGGCACACTGAGCTTGGATGTAACAAGGATAGTAGAGAGGGCACTGAGATGTTTGTATTGGGGCTGTAGAAAGATGTCTCTGAACCCTGCTAGAGGGTGGCCAGCGGGGCTAGTGTGCAGCTGGCATCATCTGTGACAGGGAGTCTCAGCTTCCTCTCCCATCTCAGGGCTGTCTTGCCTGCATCCAGCACACTGGTCCACCAGGGAACATGGGTGGAAAATTTCCAGCAGCAAAGGGAATTAATGAGTCACCACATCTGTATTTGTTGTCACAGGTAGAGGAGAGGGAGGGAAAGGCACCTGGGTGCCCATCTTCACCTGCAGCACTAGAAGACTCTTCATGTCTGATGCTCTTTCCCTGCTGTGCACAGATGCTCTGCCCTGGCAATGTGCTCCTTGGATTGTTCGAGTGATCTGATCTCAGTCAGGGGCTGGGCCACTAAATTGTGTCCAAAGTCTAGGCAGATGTCAGAATCAGCCAATCCTAGTCTAGCTCCAACCACACCACTTACTAGGCAGGGAGTTCTGCACACTCACTTCACTTTGCTGATCCTCAATTTCCTCACATATAAAGTGGAGGGACAGGACCCATGGATATCAGGGGTACGATGACATTAAAGAGAACCATGTGTCCAGTGGAGAGGTGTGTCCTGCCCGGGCATAAATGCTCGCCCCACATACGGGGCCTTAAGTCCCCTCAGCTTCAGTGTCCTCTGTAGGAGGACAGCACTGGTCCTCACTGAGAGGCACAACAGTGGGAGTGAGTGCACTCAGCAGAAGCTATTAGCCACGCCGGCCCCCACACAGGGGCACCTTGGACCTTGCTGGGGAGGTGCTGGCAGCAGCAGCCCCTGGCTCACTTTGGATGAACAGGCACCAGCTCGCAGGGACACAGTCTGAGTCTCTTGACACAAACAGAACAAGGATGTCTTCTCCTTTTGTCCTTAGGGGTGCGATGAGCAGGGAGGCCTGACACCAACACCCAGGGAAGCCAGTAAAGAACAGCGAGAAGGGAGAAAGCTTCAGACCTTCAAACCTCATCTCCCACCTGAGTGACACTTATGGTAAAGTATTACCCCCAGACAGGCAGCGCTCAGCTACCCCGAGGACCGTAGAAGGGAATACAAGATTTAATACAGTAAACTGCTTTTTAACAGGCCCTTTGAAAACAAACAAGCAAACCTCAGAGTGTCCAGGGAGAGGTGGCTCACTCCAAGGGCTCAGTTTCCTCACCTATACAATGGAACAACAACCCCCACCTCCGGGGGTGGCCGCGAGAGGAACAGAGTGAGAGAACACCTCACCCCAGAGCCTGGCACCAACCAGAACAATGTTTGGTTACTGACCCGACACAGGCAAATTCCCTGCCCAAAGGCCGCTGCCCAAACCCGGCACAGGAACAGAGTTCTGACCCTCTCTAACCAACGCAGGAAGTAAAAGGTGCAGAATGAGAAAACGGGAGAGAACAGCTGTGGAATGAAGGCAACACACCGCTCCCCTGCCGGGCAAGTGTTCACCTGGGCTCCTGACCCACACCCACTCCCTCCTTCCCTCAAACTAGGACCCTCTGCTCACCTCCACCCCCACCTCCTATCTCTGCCATCACCTCCACCCCCTCCCTCCCCCTCCCCCTCCCTCACCTCCCACCTCGGCTCCCCAGGCCCACTGCAGGGCCAGGCCAGCGCCAGCGCCAGCCCTACCTCACGTTGTCATGCCGCTGGATGTAAATCTTGTGGAAAATCCTCTCCGGGGGCTTTAGGAAGTCCTCCTTCATCTCCATGGCAACGTTCCGCGGCAAGGAGGCTCATGAGCAGCCGCTCCTGGACAGGAGAGACGGGCCCATGTGACATGGCAGCTCCTCTCCGTGCTTCCTCCACGCTCCCACCCCAGTGAGGTGGGTGCCGGGGAGCTGCCCTCCACGAGCATGTGGTCCGGTCCTACAGACGCTGCCCGGCCCCAGAGCCTGGGTGGGCAGCACCCAGGCCTGGACTGTCACTGCACGGGTCACTGGCTCCCAGAGCGATGGGCAAGCACCAGCATCACCTCCAGAACACCTGACCCCAGTCGGCTTTCGTCAGGCGATGCGATGGTGGTTCAATACTGAAATACCCATCAGTGTTATACAGCATAGCCCACAGGATAAAAATTAAAACCACATAGCAATTAATACTGAAAAATAATTTGACAAAACTCAACATCCATTCATGATGAAAAGTATCAGAAAAACAGGAAGAGAGGGAAACATCTTCATCTTGATCAAGAACATCCAGAAAAAACAGCTAACATCCATTTAGGGTATAACGTTGAACACTGTCAAGAACAAGGCAAGGAAGCCCACTCTCATCACTTTTATTCAACTTGGCATGAGGTGCATCCACTCAGTGCCACAGACAAGAAAAGGAAATAAAAGGCACACAGATTAGAAAGGAAGATATTATACTATTTATTTCCCGATGACATGATGGTCCACATAAGAAACACAAAGGACTCTATAAAACCAAGATAAAATAAAACTGTATCCAAAAAACCAGAAAGTTTCTAGAACAATAACTGAGTTCAGAAGGTTATACGACACAAGAACAACACACAATAATCAGCTGTATTTCTACAAACTAGCAATGGACACACAGACATGGGTATTAAAAACATGATATCCCTGGCCAGTCTGCAACATCTGACTGCGGCATCCGGAGGGGCAGTGACCCACCCGCCCGCAGCAGAGGAGAACTGCATCTGACCCCGTGTTAGGAGGAGGCGCGATCTGCTTGCCGACAGGTGCTGGGAGCAGCACAGAAGAGGGCGCCAAAGGAGGGCCTATGAAAACAAGCTGAGCTTCCAAAACAAGACGAAGACAGAAGGACTTCACATTAAAAGCACACAGACTCCAGGAGAACACCGACAATCCCTTTTTTTGGTTTGTTTTTTGTTTTTTTTTGTTTGTTTGTTTTTTGTTTTGTTCTTAAATCTGTTTTTACCTGTTCTATTTTCAATTACTCTCTTAATTTTTACTTCTTAATTCATTTCTATTTCTCTTGGGTTTTCATGTCCTGTTACTGATTAGACACAGGCTTCAAACACATCTATTCATCTCCCCACCCCTTTTTTTTTCTTTTTTTCTTTTTTTTTTAAAGGTTTTAAAAGGACGTCTCCACCCGATTAATACTCTGCTTCAGTCCGCTCTTCTATTATTCATTATACACTGTTTTCAAACCCTCTTTCTCCCTTCTTTTAAAAATCTTTTCTCTTATTTTTTTTCCTAAGTTCTATTCCTAAATAGGCATTAGATAGATAAAA